TCTCTCTGTCTTTCCGGCAAGCACATGCACCCTATAGCAAAAACCTCTCCAAAAAAGAAGAAGAGAAAAAGAAATCCCTGGACAAGGGTCAGCCATGTGACATGGGGGTAATGTCCCACTCCACGATGCTGGAACCATAGGGGAGGTCCCAGGTTTGGGTCCTGAGACCTCCCTGTTCATGCTGGGCATGGCTGAGACAGGGAGTGGATGAAGACCCTGTTACAGGGGTGCTTCCCCATCTCTCCCTTTCTGACAGTCTCTAATAGAAGAAAAATAAGCGTTGGAAAAAAGTACTGAAGGCCTAGCCAGTGGCATGGTGGTTAAGGCGACAGGGCCGACTGTGCAGCTTGCGTCTCAGACCCAATGGCGAGAAAAACATGCCGGGTGTGTTTATGGACCCAAAATCTGGAAAGGAGGGAGAAATGGAGGAGAAGGCATGGTGGTGTGACCATCCCCCATGGTGGCATGGTCACGGGCATTTTCATAGCGGCCCCCTAAATGCACGGGCCCTCTAGCAAACTTAAAAAAGGGGGGGAAAAAGACTCACAAAAGACCTTGCTTCAAGTCCAGCCTGATGACTCAAAGGAGCAGGTAACAATTGGAGACTCTTGGGGCCAACAGGTGGCATAGTGGTTAAGGCACTGGACTTCCACATGGCTGACTGCGGTTCGAGTCCTGGACCTGGCAGCTTGAGACTCACACCAGGTGTGTGTGTGTATACCACCAAAGTCCCAAAATCTCTTTCAAAAAAAAAAAAAAAGAGAAGAATTTGATGGGACCAGCAGTTGGCGTAATGGCTATGTCGCTGGATTCCAATGTAGTTGACTGCAGTTCGAGTCCCGGACCCGGTGGCTTAAATTCACGCCGGGCGCGTGTGCGTGCGTGCCCAAGATCCCGAGAGGAGAATGGAGGAGAAGGGATTGCGGCGTGGCCATCCCCCCTGGGGGTGATTTCTCGCTTTCTGTCTCTCTGTCTCTCTCTGTCTTTCTGGTGAGCACATGCGCCCTATAGCAAACACCTCTCCAAAAAAAATCAAAAATCAAATCAAATGAAAGAATTTGAGAGCCTTCTGTTGGGTTATGGAATCTATTTTTCTCTTCCCAGTAGAGGTTCATTAACGGCTGCTTCCTTTTCCTCATCTTTCCAAAGTGACGCGTCTTGGGTGCACCGTCCCGTTCATCTAAGAGAGAGCTGATCAGGCCGGGCGCTGGGCTGGGTCCCAGGGCCAGAAATGAACCCGCATGCCCTCGAGGAGGGACTTTCTGGTGGGACCTTCCCACCGATATAGTGGAGTACGACGCAGGCAATGACAGAGGAGCCATGGGGTACAGTGGGAACAGAATGAGAGGTGACCGATGCCAGCCTTGGGACAGGGACGTGTCATTGAGTGTCCTCGGGAGAAGGACGGATTGTTAAACCCAGCCAGGAAGTGGGGAGTGAACTGAAGCCTTGCTTTCTCACAAGTATCTCCTGTCTTAGCTGCTTTTTATGTATGTGTGTGTATATATATTTATTTATCTATTAAATTATCTTTTCTTTTTATTGGAGAGGTTTTTGCTATAGGGCGCGGGCGCTCGCCAGACAGACAGAGAGAGACAGAAAGCGAGAAATCACCCCACAGGCGGAATGGCCACACCGCAATCCCTTCTCCTCCATTCTCCTCTCGGGATCTTGGGCACGCACGCACGCACACCCGGCGTGAGTTTAAGCCTCCAGGTCCAGGACTCGAACCGTGGTTGACTACATGGGAGTCCAGCGACATAGCCATTATACCAACTGCTGGTCCCCATTCTTATTCTTTTTAATTTGACCAGAGCAAGCCAGAGAGTAAAAGGGAAAGCTAGAAACCAAGCTGACAGGTCCGGG